AGCAAAGAATCATGAAATTATAGTGCCAGACAAGACCTTAAGCTGCTCATTTTATAAATGAGGAAACTGAGGCCTGAAGGGGTAAAGTTTCTTAGTCAAGGTGGAGCCACTATTGTCATCTGAGGTTCTCATGGAATGAGTGTTTTTCACTTGGATTACGGAGAGTATATCTGTGAAGTCCTCTGGGTCATATGAGAAACAAGATGGAAGACTAGATATTTCCTCTGATTCCCTTGACTTCTCAAATCTCTCCAAGACAGAAAGTATGTACCAAATATAAAGCAATTTCAGCTGTCCTCATGGTTTATGACACAAAGAATCCAAAAGAAGGTTAAATAAAAATAACATAAAAATTCATGAACTGACCCTCACTGACCATGAACTCATTCAGCACCCCTCCCCTACTTCCCACAGTACAGGCAGCCAAGGTTGCACTAGAAGAACCAAGAATCCAACAAAGGCTTACCAAACTAAATAAATAAATAAATAAAAAGATTAAAAAAAACTCAACCAAACAAAAAACAAAACAAAACAACCCAAACTGTAGTCTCCCTCCCTCTTTCTAATGCCATGGCAAAACTAGAAGAAATAAAAATAATAATCACAGCACATTATGTGCAGTTACAAGTTAACAAAAGAAATATGGGAATATTTTCAAAAATATAAACTATTAGAAGACCAGATAGAGATCTGAAATAATCTAATCTCAGAAAAGTTAATAGAGCTGGCCATAAAGGAACTTAGGCAGCAAAGTGGTACAGGGGATAGAGTGCCAGGGAAAGACTCATCTTCCTGAGTTCAAATCTGGCCTCAAACATTTACTTAGCTGTGTGACTGACGGCAAGTCACTTAATCCTGTTTGCCAAAGTTTCCTTATCTGTAAAAAGAGCTAGAGAAGGAAATGGCAAACCATTCCAGTATCTTTGTCAAGAAAACCCCAAATGGGGTCATGAAGTTAGATACAACGAAATGACTGAACAAGAACAACATAAAAGAACTACCAAAGTAAAAAACTCCTTGTCCTGATGGATTAAAACTTTTAAAGAACAATTAGTACCAATAATTTATGAATTATTCTCAAAAATCGAAAAAGAAATCATACTACCAGAATCCTGTTATGAGACAGATATATTCCTAATACCCTAAAACAGAGAAAGATAAACTCACAAAGAAAACTATAGGCCAATATATTAACATTGACTTTAAAATTTTAAACAAAATCCTCTCAGACGACAATGATTTATCAAAGAAATCATTCATTATGACCATGTGGGATTTATAACTGGGATGCAAGGATAAATCAACATTAGTAAAACAATTAATATAATTAACCATATTTAAAACCAAAACATCCCAAACCACATGAACATCTCAACAGATGCAGAAAAAGTCTTTGACAAACTACAACACTCTTTTATGCTAAAAAAAACCAAACCAAAACAAACCCTACAAAGCACAGGTAGGCATAGAAGGACTTTTTTTAATAGCATAAAAGAACATCTATCTAAATCCAAAAGTAAGCATGATATGTACTGAGGATAAACTAGAACCTTCTCCAACAAACAGGGGAGTGAAGTAAGGACGTTCACTCTCTCCACTAGTCTTTGATAGCTCTGGAAATGCAGGCAATAGCAACGAGATAAGAGAAAGGAATTGACAGAATAAAGACAGCAAAGAGGACATAAAACTGTCTTTATCTGCTTAGGATGTGATGTTTTACTTGGAAAATCCTAGGGAATCGGTAAAGATACTAACTGAGAAAATAGTGTCAACAAAGCTGCAGGCTACAAAATAAATTCTCAAAAATCACTAGCACTTCTATGCAACAATAACAAAACACAAGAAGTAATAATACCTAGTGATAGTTATTATTAATTACATGTATTATATTATTAATATCAACATCTACATTTTTAATAGCATTTACTACATGGCAGGTACTCTGTAGGTGCTTTTATGATTATCTCATTTGAATCTTACAACAATCCTTAAAGGTAGGTGCTATTATCATTATCCTCATTTTGATGAGGAAACTGAGACAAACAAAGGTTAAGAGACTGGCTCAGGTTCCAAAAGCTAGTAATTGTCTGAGGCTGATTTGAACTCAACTCTTCCTGACTCCAGGTCTTGTGCTCTATCTACTACCTAGCTGCCCCAACAGAAAGGGAAATCACGTTCTAAATAATTATAAAATGCATAAAACATCTGCGGATTGACCTACAAAAGCATACAAAATACCTGTACATATTCAATTAAAAAAGTGTTCCTTAAAGAAACAAGGGACAATTTAAAGAGCTTAGCAGAATAGTGGGTAGACCATGCTGATATAATAAAAATTACAATACTACCAAAACTAGTGTATGCTTTTAATGCATGTCAATCAAATTACCAAGGAGACACTATACAGAGCTTGACAAAATAATAACAAAATTCATTAGAAAAACAACAGAAAAAAATCAAGGTAAATAATGAAAAGAAGTAAGGATGAAAAGGAGAATATCACTTCCAGATCTCAAACTTGTATTATAAAGCAGAAGTCATCAAAACCATCTGGTATTGATTAAAAAATACAAAAGGTCAATGGAACATAATAGACAAGGTAGAATCAAAAACAACAGAACTCAATAACTCAGTATTTGATAAAGCAGAAACATATATTACCTAGGGAAAAACTCCTTATTTGATAAAACAACACCAGAGAACTGCTAAGAAAACTGGAAAGCAGTCTGGCAGAAATCTGGCTTAGACCAACATCTTAAGCCATATTCTACAACACATTCAAAATAGATATGTGACCTTAATATTTATCATCATACTGTGAAAAAAAAAATCAGAAAGATCATATACCTCTCACAGCTATAGGTAGGAGATATATTCTTAATTAAACAGGAGACAGAGGCAATTACAAAAGATAAAATCAATAAATTAGACTACATGAAACTGAAAACCTTCTGCACAGTCAATATTAATGCATCTAAGACAAGATGGGAAGTAGTCACATGTGAAAAAAAATCTTTGTACCACATTTCTCTGATAAGGGTTTGGTATCCAAGATATATCAACTATATGTGTGTGTATGACACACCTCTCTCTCTGCGTGTGTGTGTGTGTGTGTGTGTGTGTGTGTGTGTGTGTGTGTGTGTAAAACTAATAGCTTTTCCCCCAATAGATAAGTGGTCAAAGGATAGGAATAAACAATTCTCAAAAGAAGAATTGCAAAATATTCACAACTACATGAAAATATGCTCCAAATCATTAATAAAAATACAAATGCAAATAAATACAACATTGAGGATTTACCTCACAACCTGTAAATTGGCAAAAATGATAAAATGGCAATAGTCAATGTTAGAAGGGTTATGGAAAGACAGGCACACTAATACATTGTTGGTAGAGTGGTAAAATGGCACAACCATTTTAGAAAACAATTTGGAATTATGCAAATCCATATCTTTTGACCCAGAAGACTACATTATAGATTTAAATCCCAAGGAAGCTATCAATAAAAAAAAGTAAACCCCTATATGCCAAAGTACTTATAGCAGTACTTTTTGTAATAACTAAGAGTCAGAAATAAAGTAGCTGCCCATCAATTGGGGAACAGTTAAACAAACTGTGGTATATGAATGTAATGGAATATTACTGTGCTATAAGAAATGATGCATGTGATGAAAACCAATGACAGAAAGATCTATCTGAACTGATGCAGAAAAAAGTAAGCAGAGTCAAGAAAATAATATACATAGTAATACAACAATGTAAATGGAAAGAATTACAATACCAAAAAAATCAAAAGTAAATATAACAAAATTATAAAGACCAAGCAGGATTCTAATGAAGAGAGATGAAGGAACACTCTCAATCTACTCTTTTGTGGAGGTGGAAGGTCCACATGTATCATACACCATAATTGTTTTTGGATGCAATTAGGTATTATTTGTATTATAATTTGTCATCCAGCACAGTGTAATGAACATAACCCTGGTCTTGGAGTCAGAGGACGTAAGACTCAAGTCTCTGCTCTGATAACTTAATATGTATCAAATTCTGGGCCTCAGTTTTCTCAAATGTAAAATGACAACTGACCTACCAATGTTACAAAGTTGTTGTGAGAAAGCACTTTCCAAATCATAACATACACTGCTGTCAAGGTATATATTTCTAAATAGATCATAATTATTTGTTGTATATATGTTATTCTCCCTTGCTAGACTGTAATGTACTAGACTGTAAATTCTATGAGGGACGGGACCTTAAATTTTTTATTTCACCCAGCCACCTAGTATATTGGTCTTCTACAGATAGAAGGCATTTAACAATCAACAAATAAACGTATTTTAAATATGGTCACAAATATTTTGTAAAACAACTGGGAGATTACAGTGGCATTTCTTTCTCAATCAACTATGCTTAACAACCACAGTGACTACTATCTAAAAGATCTGAATATTTGTACTTGGTAAAGAGACTATATTTCGCAGATTTGGGGTAGGTCTCTTAAAAAGATTTTGCTATATTCACAATCTTTATAGTAATTACTGATTGCGGTGACAAATATGTATGTTCAAACTAATCTAGAATTACAATTGTAAGCAAAGCTGAATGACCGACTGTATATATGTTAAGTTTTTATTATACAACTATATTTTGTAGAAATGGAACAATCTTGAATCACGATGGATTAAACAGAGAATGAATGGGGGGGAGGGAATAACTCTTTTGAGACATGTGAGGAGAAATCACTCTGATATAAGGGAATGAGTCCTTTGCATGATGAAACCTATTTTTATATACTTATCAAATGCTTTTTTATTAATATCCAATGATGATTTTCACAAATGTCTTGGGATGCTCATCAAAAAATTAGCAGCAAAGAATATTTATTAGTTAAATCAATACTGGCATAATACTTTAATTCTAACTGATGCTTTGAGGTTCAATTTTCATTTTGTTCCAATCTCTCAAGAATTGTTGCTGACAATAGCTCCCCCATTACTCACCTCTCCAAATCCTCCTTTTCCTAGAACTCTGTAATGTCTAAATGTATTTTTTGTTACAGGTTGCCTAGTCCACAAAAACAAAAACAGAACATAGGTTAGATTCTCACATTACAAGTCTGCTTTAAAGTAAACAAACCAAATTGTTGCTTGATTCTAGTTGATTAAAGGATCAGTATCTTTCCTTTGGCTAAGTGATTATGTGGAAGAGGACATACAACTGACCAGATGAATGCTAATGAGCACAATGGGTACTCATGGTCAGGACCTAGAGAGCCCTATAGAGGAATAATCTAGAAGAAATAAAAATTGTTTCTAGTGGAATGGATCCATTTAATAAGCAATGACCCTTTCAAGCTTTCCAAGAGATTTTCAATAAGATACAGAGTTACCCATCAGTCCTTACTAATTCTGGGTACTAATGGCACCAAATGATACAGGGGAAAAGGGTCCTCACTTGCACAAGATGACCTTTCTACTCCCTGATTCTCCCACTCAGCAGAGATGCTGTAGGAAAGGTCTGCCATCTTTTCAGGGGAGGATCACACTTCATGCTACTCTACTTCATCAAAGAAGAGTGTGAGCTTCTGCTCTGCACTCCCTCTTTTCCCATTCATGGCAAGGAATGATTTTGCTTTTTCTCTTGGTATACTGAGCTCTTGGCACAATAACTGGCATATAGTGAAATGCTTCATAAAAGTCTGCTGATGGACTGGTATTACCATATTGAAGAAGGCCTTAAAACAAGCAATTGTTGTTTTGATTGGGAGTTATCTCAAATTCAAAAAGTCCAATATAGCACTCATCGTTCCCCTAGGTACTCTCCTTTTCTCAACTAACTCTGCTGAGAGTATTGCTGTCCTTCCAAGGAACCCAGGCTCCTAGCTTTAGCATATACCCTTTGACTCCTGGGGAGCATTTACAGAACAAACCATTCTCAAGCCTTACTTCCCCCTTGGCCACAGCTCTTTTCTGTCTTCCTTCTGACCATTCACATGCTGACCCCCGGTATAAGTTTGTGCCTCCTCACATGTCTAGACTATTTTCATCACCTTCTGGCCAGGCTTAAGTGGGCTTTACATCTCCCTCACTGCAAGCCATCATCTACATAATAGCCCAAGTGATCCTTCCCAAAGCACAGCTCTGACCTTATAACCTCCCTACCTAACAACACCTCTGGGTCCCATCACCTCCAGGATAAAAAAAAAACCCCAAACCAAAATGGCTTTGCAAGGCCTTTGCTTCTAGGCCCCATCCTGCCTCTCTTGTCTTCTCTGACGTGGCTCCCCTCCATTTATTCTACAGCTCCAGGCCTTTTCACTGGTTGTTCCCCATGACTGAAATGCTCTCCTTCTACCTCCAGGACTCATCACAGACTTGGCTCAAATCTGGCCTTCTGCAAAAGGCCTTTCCTGACCTTCTCCACTTCTTTGTATATGGTTGTTTGCAGTTTTCTCCCACATTAGAATGTGAGATCCTGGAGGGTAGGGGCTGTGTTTTTGCTTTTCTTTATCTCCCTAGGCTGTGCCTGGAACATAGTATGCACATCACAAAGACATGGTGACTGAGAGTCCATTAAAAAAGTGGGGAGACTAGAACTAAAGCTGTGGTATATACATGTATATTACTGTGTAATTAATAAGAAATGATGAGCACTCAGATTTCAGAAGAACCTGGAAAGACTCATATAACTGATACACAGTGAAATGAACAGACCCAGGAGAACATTGTACATAGTAACAGCAACACTGTGTGATGATCAACTATAAATGACTTAGCTCTTCTCAGCAATACAATGATTCAAAACAATTACAAGGGACTAATGATGGATAATGCTATCCACATCCAGAGAAAGAACTGATGAATTCTGAATGCAGATTGAAGTATGCTATTTTTATTTATTTATTTTTGGCATTTGGGGTTAAGTGACTTGCCCATGGTCACACACTAGTAAGTGTCAAGTGTTTGGTCTGAGGCTGGATTTGAACTCAGGTCCTCCTGACTTCAGGGCCACTGCTCTATCCACCGGACCACCTAGCTGCCCCTACTATTTTCACTTTAAAAATTTTTTTTCATGGTTCTTTCCTTTTGTTCTCTTTCTTCCACAACTATGACTAACATGGAAATATGTTTTACATGATTGCACATATATAACCTATATCACACTGCTCGCTATTTTAGGAAGAGAGGAGAGAAGGGAAAAAAATTTGGAACTAAAAGTTTTGTAGAAGTGAATGTTTAAAATTGTCTTTACATATAATTGGAAGAAATACTATTTTAAAAAAAGAGGAAAAAAAAGCAAATCTAAACAATACCTAAAAAATATGACTTCATATACAATGTTCCATATCCATAGACCCTGACTACTGCAAAAGAGTCATATCTTCTTATATCTCTTATTTGGGGCCAAGATATTTTTTTTAAATCCAGGATGTATGTGGTAGCTTTATTATAATTTTCACTAAATTTTATTAAACACAAAAAACAGAGGGGAAGAGGATACATGAAAAGGGGGGAAAAAAGCATTCAAAAGAATATTCCTGTCATTTTAGTCATGTTCTATAAGCAAAAACGTAATTGAAATGAATGATTTTCCAAAGGTCTTATAAATTCTAATCACTAAATGTCTTACCTAGAAGGCTAACATGAATAAAAAAATAAAATAAAATAACATATAGAGCTGAACCAAGAGAAATTTTATCACTTATTTCAATGATTTCAGCAACAAAGTCTTCTTACTAAATTTCAGGGATAAACATTGTAAATAATAATGAGTTTCCATGATAGAATTCTATAAAATTACAATGAAATTTACATAAAATATCAAAGGTTGCTATTTACATCATTAACATGAAAAAAAAAGATACAAACACACCATACCTTTCCAACCATTTCCACTGTAAAAATCGAGAGAAAAACATGCTTTCTTGGTACTCCTCAAATGGTCTTCCACTTAAATAATCATGGACAACCCTAGAAAAATATTTTAAATAATTATATCTTACTGTATTATAATATGACTTCATATTGATGGACCAACTGAGTGAAATGAGTTAATCTACCATAAAAGAACTGATTACATGAAATTTTGCATAATTCGGGGAACAAATTCCATATATAATGGGTTAAATTTGGACATTTGGAATCCTGACTCCCTAGTACTTGTGCTGCCACTGGCGTTATTACACTGCTACAGCAATACTCTACTGGAGATTGAGAACATATTTTTAATTAAACAGGAAAATGGCTATGGAACATAGAGTTTCACATGCAGATAATTATTGGGGAATATTTATTCCATGTATCCAGGTGTCTGAGAACATGCTAATAATAACAAGTGCCCATTAAAAATGCATTTCCTTAGATAGTTGAGGATGATAATGGATAACAGCATTATTATCTACAGTTGTATTTGTAGAGTCTGTTCCTTTTTACACTTTAGACTACTGTTCAATATACTTTGGTTCATGTTTCTTCTGTTTTTTTTTTAATATTCAGGTCTGTCACATAGTTGTTTTTAAAAATTAATTATAAATAATACAAAATATTACAATGGAATTATTTTGTATTTACATTTAAATCAATGAAAGTCAATTTGTAATTTCAAATTATGAAATTCAATTTATAAAATAAACTTTTCAATCACTCTCGTTAATTCTCAGTCAAGATTCTTTGACAAATCATTCTTTTCTTCTGATATAATCGCAGCAAGTTCTCCCTTCTTCTGGTTTTACTTCTTTTGCATTACTTTATAATGGTTTTCATTTTTTATATTCCTCATACTTGTCAATCTTAACTGAATTATAGTATTCTTTTATATTAACCTACTATTTATTTAATCATTGCCTCACTTTTTAATGCTGAGGCTACAATACAGATCAAGAAAATATAAAAAAGAAAAATAAACCCTAGTGACGATATTAACAGTAGCTATCATACATTTTGGAATTAAGTAGGAATGCACATAACCTGTACAAATACCTTCAGAAAAGCACAATGACTGAAGAGTGAAATAATATTCAAGGACATATCAAACTGACGGGGAAAAATGATAATAGTCCCAAAATTAATGTATGCAATTCCAATCAAAATGCCAACGGTGCTTCTTCATAGAATGCAATAAAAAGCTACAATGAAATTTATGTGGAAAAACAAGCAGGTAAAACCATAAAGAAGGATGCTGGGAGGAAAAAGAGCTAAAGAATGTGCTCTTATATTCCATGACTTTAAAACATACTACAAAGCTGTTAATTTCAAATCTATTTTGTATTGGGCAAAAAATAAAAATAATTTTTAAAAATGGATCATTGAATCACAGATTTGTAGATGCAAAGAACCTTAAAAGCAATGAACTACAGCACCTTCATTTTACAGATGAGGAGCAGATGCCCAAAGAAGAGAAGTGATGGGATTTAAAAGCAAGCCCCTCTTTGAGGATCAGTCTAGGGCTCTCCTGTGCTATGGAACAGACATCACAAAAAGCACACAAAAACTGGAGAACATACAAACTAGTGAAAGAATTAGTTATTTAACAAATGTACCCAAGAAAATGTGGATTTGTCTATCAATGTAAGATAGCATTAAACCTACATCTCCCACAATGTACCTCAGTGAACTACAATCTGATGAAAGGCTTAAATGTAAAAAAAAATCCCCCAAAATGAATATCCACAAACTATACAAAAAGGCAGAAGAAACTAATACAAAGTATTTAACTGTGATAGGGAGATGACTTAGTCTTTTTGTTGTTGTTGTTAGGCAATGGGGTGAAGTGACTTGCCCAGGGTCACACAGCTAGTAAGTGTTCCGTGTCTGAGGCTGGATTTGAACTTAGGTCCTCCTGAATCCAGGGCCAGTGCTCTATCCACTGCGCCACCTAGCTGTCCCGATGGCTTTGCTTTTCAATAAACAGGAATTATAAAGGGAGAAACAGTTGTTCTTGATTATATTAAAAAAACCTAAGCAACAAAAACAATATAATGAAAAGGAAGAAAAAATTTTGGTAAATGTAACAAAAATCCAAAATATTAAAAAAAGACCACAATGGTCAAATTCAATTCAACTCAACAAACAATGGAAAAAGGCTCCAACTCATTAATAATCATATGCCAATTAAAATAATATTGAAGTAACATCTTCTATTTGAAACTCAGTGTTGGTTGGGTTATGTAGAAAGAGGTACTCTCCTACAGTCCCCCAACCCTGTTTTTGCATAAATCATTTCCCTGGTTCTGCTCATTTCACTCTACACTGGTTCATATAAATCTCTCCAGACTTCTTTCCATCCATCCTTTCCATCATTTCTTATGGAATAATAATATTCCATTAAATTCCTACGCTATAATTTGCTAAGACATTTTCAAATTGATGGGCACCCACTTTTGTTTCTAGTTCTTATTTTCTTTTTCTAGTTCTTAACTATAACAAAATGGGCCACTATAAATATATTTGTACATATTAGTTTTCTCCCTCTCTCTGTGGGACTAGTCATTATATTGCTGGGTCAAAGAGTATAAACAATTTAGTGACTTTTGAGGTATAGTTATTAATTTTTTCTTCATTCTTCACATTAGTTTTAATCATCTTTCTTACTTACACACCTGATCTTGCAGGCCGTAATTTTTTTCCACATACCTAACATAACTGTGTTTTGTACTACACCTCTTCAGCTTCAATGTCCTCCTGTTTTAAGATGAGAGATTTGTCTCTGTTTAAGACCCTATACCTATCCCACTTAATCCTTAAATAATCTAGGCTGATGGGAAAAAGTGACTTAAATACTTCTAACCATAAAGGGCAATAGCAGTTGCTATAGTATCACGATGCCTGGTCTATTGAAGAACTGATATTTCAAACTTATTTCCCCACAAACACAATTGTCCAAAATCCTAGATACATAGAATGATCTATGATCTGATTGCCAAAGGAACTCAGTCTGTGGACACAGGTCACAACTCCTCAACATTTTCTCATTCTCTTATTCATATATGTGCCTTATTATAAAGCACCCACAGAAGACCAATACAATGCAAAGACCTCTAATTTCAGTTAGAGGTTAATAATAAAAAAAAAAAAAGATGCAATTTATTTTGTCATCCAAATTCATAGATCTTCTGAAATCTATTCATAAACTCTGCTGGGGTAGATCCCAGGTTATGAATATCATGACTAGGGGAACTTCTAGTGACCATTACTTATAGGTTCTAGTAATGGCTCATCACCAAATAGCTGTATGATTCTGCTCTAATATCCATCAGAGACATGAGGCTAATGTTATCCTTCCAATAACCACAGAAAGCTATTATGAAGATACTGAAGTATAGATGAGAAAGCATTTTACATTTTTAATGTAAAAGGATTACAGAAATATAACATGATAATGAACCAGAAGCATTAAAGGACTGTAAAACCTAGGAATACTTGAACTGCGACTAATACAAAACCTTATCCGTGGACAGGATCAGCAAGAGACCAGGCTACTGAAATCTGCATATTCCCTAACGCTTTTGTCTCCTAAGACAAATCAACAAATCCCTGAGCGATTTGAGCTTTGGCTACCTTAGTAGTCAGTCATCGTTTTTGCCATACATTCAAGGTTCCAGAAGAAGGATGTTTTCAGGGAAGTTTATGTTTAATTAGTAGCTTATTTTCAAGCCTAAGAATGAAATGCTGGGAGAAAGAGCAGGCAGAATCTTGAGGCAGCAGATAAATCACAGAGAATTTTAGTTCAATTCCTGATTCTTCAGTTCACTATTAACTTGCTCTTACTTTTGAACCTATTTGCTTTCACTTAAGAGTAAGCTGATTAGGAATTTTATCTTAATTTTGAAAATACTTTGATAATATTTGTAGAGTTTTCTTTTTTAATTGACAGCAGGAAAAAGTTACCTTAAACATCCGGTCTTGGCAATATAATATTTTACAATTTTTCTTAATAATTACAGTGCTGTGCATTCATTACTTACCTAGTGCAGTCTTTAAAAAGCTCTTTGCAAGGGCTCTGCTCCAGCCTCTCTTTACATTCTTTCACTATATCCTGAGGTATTTCCGGTAAATGGGCAGCAGACTTCACATAATACAAACCAAATATATAAGCACAATTAATAATCTTAAAATAAATCCTTTATTAGCAAAGCTTTTCAAGGAAGGAAGAGGAAAAGGTTAATCAAATTAATTGACTGATTATAGAGACTTTAGTTTAATTTTGGCAAAATTTGAATTTGTACGTAACTGAAACTAGAAACATAAAAAGAGTTCCAATTAAATATTTTATAATATCTTCTGATTTCTTAAGATTGTGAAATTAAGCTGACAAACAGTTGGGTTTTTATACCTGGAGGCAGAATTTTTAAACTGCAAAGTCAAAAACAGGTTAAAAAAATAGCATAACTAATGAGAAGAAAAAATTCATAACACTCAATAAATGTGAACAGTGAACACTCAATAAATGTGAAACAGTTCAATATATGTTAACTATTATTGTGTTCTGGGGATTGACTGTTTACATAATTCTAAAAATTATTCACTAATGTATATGTGTATATATATGTGTGTATGTACATATTTATAGAACTTTTAGAATTTCTCTTGATATACTTCACTAGTTCTACTCATTAGTGCTATTCTCTTAAAAGCTGTATGTTTTTTGAAAGTACAAGTTGCATGCTACTTAAGTCTGACCAAAAAACACTCAACTGCAAAAGATAATCTAATGTTAACATTGAAAAAAAAAACCTTACAGAAATTTATTCATGGAGAAAATGACAACAAGGGTTAAAAACTTCCACAAATATACATTTGCTTCAGAAACAAAAAAGAGAGATATTGCTAGCTCCCAGATAAATAAGAAGAGGGGTCAAAATAAAGATGCATAGATTTGTTTTTAAATAATACCCTGAAGTACAAGGGATGCTAAGAGATGGAGGTGAGGGGTAAGTATACTCTAGGTATGAGGGAGAGCCAGTAGTATAAAGGTAAGGAAATGGGAGGTAGAGTGATGAATATCACTAAAGCCAATCTGGATGGACCACAGAGCATCAGAAGCCTAGTAAAAGGTTAATAAGGCTGAAAAGGCAGTTTGGGCTGCAAGATTGTGAAGGACTTTACATGTTCAACAGAATTTGTGGTCTGTCCTAGAAGGATATCAAAGACCTGCAGGTGACTGGACATGTACCAAATCGTCTTATCGCTGGAGAAAGAGGCAGTTGAACAACAACAGCCAAAACAAGTTGGCCCCTGGATGGTCCCTTGACAGTACAGGCTAAGGCTTCACAGGCTATTACTGGTGTGGCACCAGTGGCTCATGACTAAAGCAATCATTTTCTTGAACCTTTAGCACACGGTCCATTTTCTACTTTTATCATCTCAGCAACCTAATTTTAAAATGAACTTTTTGACCACTTAATACCTAAGAATCTTTTCACAATGGCCCTACACTAATGTCTTCATTGAGTCATGGAGGGCCACTGCTGTGAGTCTTTGAAGTTTATGTCTACACAATAAAAGCTCAGGTAGGTCCTCTAAAGCAGGGAAAGCTTTAAGAATAGGCTTGACGATGGATTGTGTCTGCGGTCAGACAACCAGCTTACCTAAATATAGACTGGCTCATTACCAGAAGGTCGGTCTTCATTCAGCTAATGAATTTCACTGGCTAAAGCAATTAATGAAGACTGGTGTAAAGAGGTTGTAATCTGTAACGGTGTGAATGGAAGCTTTACATTGACAAAAATACAGACCTTTTTAAGTATTGAAGTATCCATAAGAAAAAAATATCCAAAGTAATATAATGAAATCTGACTACAGAATAGAATTTAGGATAAAGTCAGTCAGCAACAAATGTTGCAAGATAAGTAACAAATTGCCAGACTGGTGGCACTTTCGAAACTAGTTAATCCAACCCATATCCAAAGAAGAAGGCCCACCACAAATTAACACAGTAAGTGGTCATCTAGACTTTCGGGACATTTCCAATGGGACATGACCCGAGATAGCCTGAAGCAACCTATTCTACTTTTGGATGGCTCTCATGATTGGGGACTTCTTACAGAAAAGCTAATCTTGTCTTTTTTAGTTCTAACATTGCTTCTGGTTCTGCTTTATGGGGATGAACAGTACAAGAACAGCCTCTTTTCCACCCTAAAATCCTTCCCATACATGAAGATAGTTCTCACGTTCCCTCTGAATCTTCTCTTCTCCAAGCTAAATACAGCTCCAGTCCTTTCAACTAATTATCACATGGCATGGACTCAAGATACTTTCTTATCCTGGCTGCTCTCTTCTCAAAACCCTTGCTAAACTGTGACATTCAGAAGTGAACTCCAGATATGGCTCACCATGGCAGAATAATTTGGGACTCTCACCTCCTGATTTCTAGGGGCTATGCTACTCAGTGCAGTGCTTGGTAGTATTAGCTTATTTGGCTGATATCATACCACTGACATGTTGATTTGATAATGCACTAAAATAGCCAGATCTTTTTAAGACTAAGAATTAGGGGTGGTTTTTTTGCTTTTTAGTGAGGCAATCAGGGTTAAGTGACTTGCCCAGGGTTACACAGCTAGTAAGTGTCAAGTGTCTACAGCCAGATTTAAACTCAGGTCCTCCTGACTCCAAGGCCAGAGCTCTATCCACTGCACCACCTAGCTCCCCTTATTCTTGTATTTCTGACTCCAATACCAATACCTCCACTTGTGAAGACGATTTTTTTTTAACTGAAGTGTTGGATTTTACATTTACCTCTATTACATTTATCTTATTGTAGTTCTGGCTTGTCAAAATCTTTTTCGTTTTTAACTATTATGCAAGATATTAGCTATCTTTTTTGGCTTTGTCTTCTGCAAACTTTATATATGTCATATATATCTTTTTCTAAGTTATTAATATAAATGGCACAGGCCCATACCTCTAACCCTGTGGCTTTCTAAGGGATCCCTCCTTTCAAGGTGACATCAAGCTATTAACAGCTATTCTCTGAGTCCAGCTGTTCAAACTGCTCTGGATTCATCTAAACTTGTATTATTAGGTGGCCCAAATCTCTCCATTATTTCCACAAGAACAGCACAATATGCTTCCTCAAATGGTTTGCTAAAATCTAGGTAAACTATATACATCACTCCCAGGTTAGCAGCCCTGTCAGAAAGGGAAAGATAGTTACTCTGCCATGATCTGTTCTTATATCTCAATGGGGTTTCATTTCTGAAATACCAAAAGAATTTAATCATCATATGGCTATTTTACCTGTAAGTAGGTTCTGTGACAAGACCCCTAATGACAGCATTGTAATAAGGTTTCAGTTTTTTCTCTATGAATAGCAAAATTATTTCAAATACTATTTTAAGATAAATTGGAAGAGTCAAATAACGAGGAAGATAAGATATATTACATTGTTTTATCTTCAATATAGTTAAAAAACAGTCTTCAGATTAATTTCAAATAAGAGAAGTATAAAGTGAAACAAGGAAAAAGGGTAAACTTCTATTCCTTCATCATTCCTATTATACCCTGACACGGAGATAAGTAACTTCTCTGAATATATGCATGATTTTAAAAATAATATTTAAATAGTTAATATTTAAAATTTTAATCAGCTTGTGTTAATTATAATTCATCAATGCAACATAGATGCTCTTCTACTTCCTTGCTATTTCTCAAATTTATCTTTTCCTCTTCAATTTCATTGCTCTCATTATCTCTTGTGACTATTTTAACAGCTTCTTGATTGGATGAATTAGGTTTGTTGCATCACCATCTATCCTGTTAACCAATTTTATAATTCGGATCATGCTCATCTCATTTTCCCTCACCACAGATATACAATTAGTGGCCAAATCTTGTCATTTTTACTTCTGTGTCATCCTCTGCATCTGTCCCCTTCTTTCTACACCCTCAGCCAACAATCTCCCTCATCCTTTCTTGCCTAGACCATCACAATGGCTACCTAAAAGTGTCCCTGCTTCACAACTCTCCGAACTTGAATCTTTCACCCAGCTCCTAAAGCAAAAGCACAGACTTACTCACATCACTTTCTACCCAATAAAATCCAATGGTTTCCTACTGACTCTAGAATCTAATCTTATTTCACCTTTATTTCACTCTTTTCTCATCTCAATTTTTGTAAGTTTTATAATGTATATGATTATTAGGAGAGAAGCATGCATATATTGTTTACAAATAAGTACATATATTAGTGAACTCAAAATTTTTATTAGTTGAAGTAAGCAATCAAAAAGGTTTGAAGACTACTGCCCTAAACCATAAATAGCCCTCCCAACTGGTCTCTGTCTCTGGTGTTTCCCCTCTCCCCCCAATCTATTCCACACATAAAATGAGATTAATCTTTCTACAAGACTTAATTGTTCACATTACCAAACTGCTTAAAAACCTAAACTTCTTAGCCTGGCATTCAAGTACCTTCACAATCAGGACCCAACCTGCCCTGTGAACCTGATCACTAGGCACCTTCCAGAGGTGAATCTCGCCATCTTCTCTGTTCCTGTGCTTTTGCTCTCGTACCTTCTCCCTTCCTAAGGTCCCCCTCCCCACTTTTCTCCAGCTCCGCACTTCTCACTTCCCAACTCAAGCGCTGCCACCTCTAAGAAGCCTTCCCAAAGCACAACACTCTACCCTGCTATTAACTCCTAAAGCCCTTGTCCCCACTTACTTAGTCGTTAATCACGCACCCCCTTGTGACAATGGTCACTCACTGTGTAGCAGGAAAGAACAATGAATGGAGAGTCAGAAGACACACAAGAGTTTCCAGTCCTCCCACTGTTTGACCTTGGACAAGTCACTGAATCTCTCTAAGACTTGATTTTCTCACTTTTAGGATAACAACCATAACTCCATAGGAAGGCAACACAATCTGGCCAAGCTATAGGACTTGGGGTAAGAAGCCCTTGGTTTGAGCCTTGGCTCCAACACTTACTATAGTATGACTTTGCCTCTGAGCTTCAGCTTCCTCATTTGTGAAATGGGTATAAGAATACGTATACTACCTCCTTCAAAGGATCATTCCAATAAAAGTACTTTGGAAACCCCAAAGCATTATGGGAACTACTATTTTGATTTACCTAATTATAAGCTCCTTGAGGGCAAGGCACTGACACTATTTCTTTCAATTATCGGCAGGAACTATTATTAGATGCTAAACTTATATACTTGGTAGCTATGGTACAGTGGAGAGACAGCCAGGCCTGGAGTCAAAAAGACTCATTTTCGTGAGTTCAAATCTGGCCTCAAATACTTACTAGCTGTGTGACCCTGGGCAAATCACTTAACCCTATTTGCCAAAGTTTCCTCATCTGTAAAATGAGCTGGAAATGGCAAACCACTCCAGTATCTTTGCCAAGAAAACACCAAATGGGTTCACAAAAAGTTGGACATGACTGAAATAAATTTACATATATAACTAAACAAATAATTGTGGTTTTTATATTAGGTAGTACTTTTTTAGCTTAAGAAAGTCACACTAAGGGAACTATGCCATAGACATAGGAAAAGAAAAGCTAGATAGAACACGATAAAGCAATGCATAAAACATAAAACCATCCACCAATAATGACTCAGTAAAAGCTATTTTTAGCCTTAGCTAATTTCTAGTCAAACTAAATTAGAACAGGAGAACATCTTAAAAATTAACAATCTGTTCAGTTTTGGGGAAAACTTTCTTCTGACATTTTCCTTTAATTGAAGGAAAACGCAAATTAATAATATTGACATAATATTAACTTAAAACATCTTGCATTTTAATATGTTTCCTTGGAATCTAAGGAGTTGTAAGTTTGAATTTGAAGAATAACAAGTTACAAACAATTATCAGCTAGAGAATAAAACATACCCCATTGTTGAAGTATGTGTTTAAAACCGTCAGAGCAGTCTCTCTTCGATTTTCATCTGAAGCCACCTCATATTCTGCCTAGGAAAGAAAAGTGGGGGGGAAAGTCCATGCTTTATACCTTAAAAAATAAAACAAAACAAAACCAAATATAAACCCACATATAGAATAAATCATTCAAACCTAAATTGTGTGCTTATTGGGTTTAGGGAAGCCTTCTTTGATCCCTTTACTTGATGACTTCTCTTAACCATCTCTTCTTTTCAAAATTTCCTAATTCAGTCTGGTTCTTTCCTTTAGCCCTATCTCACAAACTTATCATCCCCCTATCAGACAGTTAACTCCTGAACTAGAGATGCTTTTTTCATCCTTGCAGTTCCCAGTCCCTACCATAGTGAATTGCCCACTTGTTTGATAAAATAATTCAGAAAACCTCCACTTTTTTCACTAATGGAATCTACTTAATAAGCTTATACTCATGTAACTTGAGATTTGGGAGGGATCTTAAGAGATCAACTAGTCCAACCTCATTTTACAGTGAAGGAAGCTGACTTAAGGACATACTGTCATTTACTAAGGGGGTTAGGAAACTAAGAAGTTAGCTGCCCCATTGTTTTCCTAAATTCTCTCTATGCTATACTTTGATTTGGGAGCACTAAACAAAACAAAACAAAAATGAATAGCTTGGGCATACAAGCTGTTATAATGAATTAGGTTTTAGATATCACATAAAAAGATTTTGATTTTATCTTTGTTCAGTTTTCAAGACATATATGAATAAATATTTTTCAAGAGTTAAGACTAAATCTCTATTTCTCAACCAACAATCTGTAGATTACCATCAGTCTTTGGGAAAGGAGGTGTCATTTTATGTAAATAAAGGTGACTAAAGGGAAGAAGTTTTTTTCTGTTTTTGTTTTTAGGCAATTGGGGTTCAGTGACTTGCCCAGGGTCACATAGCTAGAGAGTGTCAAGTGTTTGGCCTGAGGTCGGATTTCAACTCAGGTCCTCCGGACTTCAGGGCTGGTGCTCTATTCACTGCGGCCACCTAGCTGCCCCGCAAAGGGAAGAAGTCTTGCCTGATTCTTTTCCCTGTAATTATTCCTACTGTGGAAGCAAAGCAACCTTTGGCTGCCTCCTGCCCCAGGGCCTATGCCCCTGGATTACGGGCTACTTAACGCTGTACCAAATTTTAGTTTACCAGGTTTGGATACACTAGCCTATAGCTTGTCTCTTCATTTCCACTCTGTAATTTTCCCTTATAAGGGCAATTTGATCAGTCTTCTAATTAGAAGATCCAAAGAACCAAGGATCCAAGTGAAGGATCCGAGTCTGTTTGGCAAGAAAATTAAAGACGTGCAGTGGAGGTGGGCAACGCGGGGGGAGGAGAAACAACGGTTTTCTTAAACTTTTTGGAAAGCTATAATTTGGGACAGGGATTAGGACTACTCTATTTAGATCCAGAAAGTACAATGGAATAAGAGGCATATGTTACAAAAAGTCAGATTTTACCTCAATAAAAGGAAAACCTTCCTAATAATTAGAGCTGTCCAAAAACATAATAGGCAAAGGGATTGAGTTTCTTCTATGAATAGAAGTATTCAAGGAGGGATGTGATGATGCCTTGTCGGGGATCTGGTAGACAGGATTCACGCATTAGACTAGATGACTGCTGATGCCCCCTTTTTAATTCTAGCATTCAATAATTATATTTAGATTTACTACCTTAAATCATTAAGCATTATTTTAGTCATAAAGTAGGACAGAAAGGTTAAAAGATCTATAGATTTATATCTATGCATCAAAACAAATTTCGTCACCTTTGGCAAATTACGTTCTTTTTTTTACTTGAGTGCTAGATATGTTTGGTTTCCTAATATGTACAAGTTATGACATGAATGGATACTGTCAAATTTTGAATGTTTAAAATTTAATTTCTGGAGTACAATCAGTAATAGTGCTAAACTGGATCTGGTCTGAAAGTTATTCAACTCTTCAAAAAAGTGATAAGGAAAGAAAATGAATTATCTATTCAAAATAGAAACTTTTTACTCATAAACTTTTCCACATTATAAGGCTCAGGAACGGAATAGGGATTAAGGGGAATGAGCAATAATGCAACTCTAAGGTCACCCCTTCCATATGTTACCAGAGTAGTACCTTTTCCTTTTTCTTACATTCCTTAAAACTATTTTAAGAGAACATGCATTCCCTAAATTAGCATCCACATAAATACACTGAGAGACATTTAGCAAGAGAAGAAAAAGTACGGTAGCTGGATGTAGTAAGAATGAAAGCTACTCCAAGGCATGAGAGGAATCAAGAAAAGAGGAGAACACATCTTTTAAAAAAAATTCTCACCCATATTCTTTGTCACTCAAAAGATGATTTTTAAGCTATCATTTAAACTTTCTGCTGAGATGGTAAATGATAATCCATTATAGTCTACCCTAGATAACAATTTTAGAGACCTCAGGTTACAGGCAAATAATTTCTATTTCTCCTAAAATAATTATCTTTGCCACATTATCATTATCAGGGCAACTGAATTACCTATGTTCATATTAAAAATGTGACGTTCACTAGCTTTGTCACACTGGGTACTTCACTTAATTTCTCCAAGCCTCCCAAGGCTCTTCAGTCCCCGGCCCTCACCATAATTGCCATCCCAAGGGCTAAATAATCTTTATTCAAGACCGAATAAAAATGTGCCTAAAACAAACCACCTTACCTTAAAGTTTTTAAAATACAAAATTTAAGACAGAAATAAAGATCTAAACTCTGAGAAGTTGCTGAAACAATAAAGGATCAGAACTTTCTATCTTGCAGTTGGATATAGAAACTAAGTAATAATATTTACTTAAAATAAAAAGAGAACTATTTGAGGGCTCAACAAGCCTCAATAATTAGGATATTTCTGAAGTATACAACTTTGCCTCTGATATAATGTGCCTACGTGTGTGTGTGTGTGTGTATAAGTATGTACATGAACACAAACACACAAACACACACACACACACAAAATGGTTGGGCTACATTTTGCTTCCTTACTGACTGGCGGGTGTGTGCATGCGTATGTGCACTCACGTAGACACACACACACCCCAAAGCATAATTTAGCTCAACCACCATTTTGGCAGAATCCTCTGATACAACCTAGTCCAATGTGCTAGGTAAATGAATCAAAATGCTCTCTGCCTTAATCCAGTAACTCTAAGAGCTGACAATCATTTTAGGTGTAAGCTCTTCAGAATGAGGATACTGCTTCAGAAAGAATTCTGCAAAGTCCACAAAATGGATTTTTGTCATTATCTTAGATATGATAGACTCTAGGATGCATCTTAATGGAAGTGACTTAACATCTGACTTTGCTAAGATTATAGATCAAGAGCTGGAAGGGACCTCAAAATCCACCTAGCACAGCCCCCTCATGTCACAGATGAGGAAACTGAACCATAGGGAGGTTAAGGGACTTACCCAAGGTCAGAGAGGTTATAAGCATCAAAGGTAGGATTTGAACCCAGATGCTCTGATTCAAGAGCTTTCTATTTCTACTATACCATATCGCCTCTCTCAAGGGCTACTCATTATTACCATATGACTTCATAAAAGTCAGCTCAAATCACTAGAGCCTGAAGTCCACTCATCCTTGGAGCAGAAGTCACTGCCACAAAAATGCCTTCTAGGTTTCTTACATAAATTTGTAGTCCTAGGGTGGTTCAAAAAAAAGCTTCTGTAAGTTTTCTTTGCATCACATTTATCTGAAGTCTGCTTCGGTGGTGGCTTACTTTCCCCAAAGAGACTTTTTTAAACTGAATCACGTCACAGGTTATCAACCTAAGCAACCAGCTCGATTTCCTGCACACTACAGACATTCAACAAATGCTACTTGTACCTCTGGTCAAAGGCTTCAATTACTACTAAAGTGACTTTGAGGCAGGGGACCACAAGTTTGAACGAGATCTAGATCAAACAAGGATCCACTCTTAATCTGACTCGACTAACCAATTAGGGGTTTAAAATGGAGAACTAGAGCTATTCAAATTAGAAGGGAGCCACTGAAATCATAAGTAATTTATCCCTGTGTTGTTCAAAAAAAACTTTGACAAACACATCCCTCCCCTAGGTGGGGAAAGCATCCACAACCATCTCCCTGTGTTGCAACTCAACTTACGTAATAGATATATTCCTTTACAAAGTTTGTAGCAAATTGAAGTTTTATTGAACAAATCATCTTCCCACAGGCTTGCATTTCAGAAATGTCTTCCCAAACAAAAATATTTAATCACAGATTACAATTAAATCTGTAGAAAATGCTTTTAAAGGACATAAAAGAACAACATCAAAAAAACCGATAGCAATACTTAAAAATGGATTTAATTGTGAATGCAACCCCTGCTATAAAAGTAAGGAGGTAACAATTTGAAAAAACTCAAGGAAAAATACTTGGCTAAGTAGGAGTAAAAGGGTATTTTTCAAGGAAAACCTGAGAGTTATGACTACACAACAGCCCATGGTTTCCAAAGGTTAATAGTCACTTCTCTGCCCAGCAGACTACACCAGAAGACTTTGCCCTTAAACATGACAGGTGTACAACACTAAATGTATTTAATCAGTCCTATCTGAGCTGTTGTTATGTTCCTATCTGAGTGGTAACCCTTTGGTGGAGTTTTTTTTTTTTAGTTAGTTGATGAAAATCCCCATAAAAAAAGGAACTATGCCTTATTTACCTTTATACCCCACCCCTTAGGACACAAGGCCTCTCATAAGGTACTCAATGAATGAAGGAATACACAAATTAGATCTAAAATGTAATTGTAGGGATCAAATTACCTACTGCAAAACTTTTAATGATTTGCAAACAAACCATTAAAGTTGTCCTAATGGTCTTTAAACAAAGCCTATAGCTCATCTGTCCACCTATTGAGCAAAGAGTAAATTAAAGGACCACCTAGCCCCATCCTTTAGAATCACTCCCTAAGTTAATCAGCTTCTCTGTATATGGTAGTCTTAAAGAGCACAGTGGCTGCCAGGTCAACAGTGTGTCCCTAATGCTCCAAGAAAGAAGTAAAATGTGAACTATTACCTCACTGATCATTAGTAATACATCCTGATTGCTACTGAATTATTTGCTATTCAAAGACTCCAAATCCTAGAGTTGGAAAGGACCTTAACAAGAATAAAAACTATGAAGAATAAAAACCTCCCCCCTCCCACTCCAAGGTGGAAGAAATTCCATCTACCACTGCAGATCAGCAACTCCAAAACTTAGAGTCTTTGAGAGTAGCCTAGAGCACCGGAGGCCAAGTGACTTGCTCAAGGTCATACAAATCAAGCATTATCAGAGGTGGAACTTGAAGCCAGGTCTTCCTGGCCTATGGATAGCTCCTTATCCATTCCTTCAGGCATGATGATTCAAAACCTTTTGAAATAGGGAGTTTCCTGTCACAAGAGTTGTGAAAGCAAAGGATGAAAGATCACTTTTGTAGGGATTTATGGGTATAATTCATGCTTTTTGAGAGGCAGGGGGGCAGGGGAAGGAATTGAACCAAATAAACATGAGGTACCTTCCAACTGTAGTTTTCTATGATTCTATGTTAGGTTAATCTCTCTACTCAAGTAGATCAGTTCCATAACTCTGAAGGGACAGCAGGTGGTGTAAGGGAAAGAATATTCTCTCTGGCATCAAAGGACCTACCACTGCTATTCACTATCTGTGTGACCTCAGGACAAGTCACTCCTTCACTTTTCTAGGCCTCAGTTTCCTTCACCATAAAAGGAGAGGGCTGACCTAGGTCATCTGCAGCTCTAAATCTATGATCCCGTAAACAAAGAAATAAATAGATAGACAGGCAAAAAAATAGGTTAGTCCCTTGCCTGAGGGAGCCCATCTACAACATCCCCAATAAACTATCCCCCAGCCTCTACGTGAACACTTTTGGTGCCCTAAGAACTCACCACTCTCCAAGGCAGCTCATTCTACTTTCACACAGCTTTGATTTTTAGGAAATTCCTTCTTAAATTAAACTGAAATCTGCTCCCCTGTAATTTTTGGAAACAGTGTGGTATGGTAGAAAGAGTTCTAGACTTAGAGTTAAGAAGACCTGAGTTGGAATCCTAGCTCTTACTCTTCCTAGCTATAGCTGTGGGCTATAGCAAGGAATTTACATTGAGCCTTAGTTCGCTCACCTGTAAAATGGAGACAGTAATACCTTCAGCACTTACCTCACAGGGCTGATACCAGTACCAAGTGAGATAATGTATGTCAAGTACTTTATAGGCCCTGAAGCACAGATAAAGCCTATGAGTATCATTTCCCTCACTGACCAATTTTTCCTCTCTGGAGCCAAGCAGAAAAAGTCTAATCCCTCTTCCAATATTTGAGTGATTTATAATTGCTATTATATCTTACCTAACTCTCCTCCAGGACAAACACTCATTTTCTTCAACTAATCCTTACATGTCTATTTTGAGGTTTCCTCATCATCCTACTGGACCTTCCCTAGATATAATAAAGTTACATTGTTCCTCCGAATTCAACACAATCTATATGTAGTCTGACCAATACTATGAGACAATCATCGTCCTTGATGTGGACACTTTATGTTTGTTGATATTATCTAAGATCTAATTAGCTTTTGGGAGGCCGCCACGAAAAATGTTTATTCATTTTGAGTTTTCAGTCAACTTAAAATAGGTTCTTTTTATATCTAGTCGCCTCTCTTTTACTGTGTTCAGTTTCATATTTGTTAGTCCTCTCTAGATTGTGACCTTCAAGGCACTAATTAAGTCTTATATTTCTTCTTATCCTCCACAAGACCTACCAAGGAGCTAGGCAGTCCTATCTTAATCTTCTTGAAGTTAACTGGACAAGTTCTATTTTGATCACAGTATCTAGTGCTTTTCCCCTACTACTTGGTTTGAAATTTCTGACAAAACTTGACAGGCTCTCTGGTAGACACCCGATGGGATGAAAAGTGCTCTAATGAGAAAATATGGCTGAGTGAGAGCACCCAGTTACAGTCAAAAGAAAAACACTAGCACAGTAGTTTACTGTTACTCCAAAGGCGTAATAATTTTAAATCAATGTAAAGCTAAGCTAAAGAATCTAGCTCTAAGGAAGACCACCACATTTCAATGCATACAGTAGGACTTCAATAAACATTTGTTAACTGATTGGTACAGTCTGCAAAAGAAGCTAAATAATAGGTCACACAAAGAAAACTTTGCATCCACTGCACAAACTGAAGAAAGTACTCTAGGCAACTGCTCCTAGAGGAGCGACCACAAACCCCCTGTTCTTAGTCCCATCTAAGTAAGTTTCATGGTTCTGAAATCTTATGCTTCTACTTAAACAAGAGCAGAAAATAGAATTTCTTTAGATATATAAGGCACACTACCTACTACTAAAACAGTTGGGTCAAGTAAAGTTAGAGTTAGGCCATGTTCCAAACTAGAAATTTGTTACGCTTGGTTTGAGAAGACTGGAAGATCTCTTCAACAAAGGATGGTTTTCCCCTAGAAAGGCAATGAAATTAGCTTTGAAAGTTAATTAGTCAAAAGAACTAAGACTTCAATGGTTCACTTAACTTCATAATCACCTAAGACATAAAATCCTATATGCTAGCAGTCAGCATTCCTTAGGTTTAATAAATTTCCCAATGCAGAGTCAGTACACTGACTATACTGTAAAATGCGGAGGAAATATGCCCCACTGAACCAATTCTCTATTTTTGCTGAAGACCCTGTCCATATGATTGTTCAGTAAGCTTTCTTTTGGTAAATGTTATATTATTTACCACTCTCATTTCATTCTGATCCCGAGCCTGAACCACAGGAGCACATGAGCCAGAATTTGTCTACAACAAAATGACAACCACAGAAATTGTAAAACAAGGCATAGGAGTACAAAGACATCTCTTAACAAGTGGCCAATTCTGTTCAGCCTCATTGTGACTCTCATAACAGTATGTCTTCCATATCCTTTTGACTCAGCATATAAGAGTATTACGAATGTTTGCCATCTGGGAAATGAAAAGATACTTTTCAGACACTCAAAAGAGCACTTCTTGGAATTTTAATTTCTCTCCAAATCAAAACAGCAAAACAAAAACCAAAACCAACAGGCCACTTCCGAGTTATCTAGGATCTAACATGGGATATAGTAAAACACAGCTTTAATACTATATGGATTACAATTTTACACCAAAGAAATTTCTTTACCATGATAATTTGACTCTAAGAAAACTGGTTCATTCACTCTTACATCATTGCTCAAGTGTAATTAAGAATAATGTGAAGTGATTTACTCTCTTTTATAGTATGTTCCTATTTATTATCTTTTAAAAAACGTGACTAAGCAGTCAAAATAAATTGAGATAAGTTGCTTACCACTGCATCCAGAAATTCAATGCATTTCTTTAGATCAAGCTTTGTATCACAGAACTGCCTGAAAAGTAGTCTTCCAATGGGCTGTTTGTCACAGAGACTGTTATAGTCCTTTTCTGAGTATAAGAAGAAAAAGTAAACAACCATGACTATTAAAAACTGCAAAGTGATTTTCTAAATTTTAGTTTACACTTGACATAATGAAAATCAAAACATTATTTGCAACTTTAATAGCAGTATACTCATCATTTTTAATAGAAAATAAAAGATTCACTCTTATGAATAAACATCTCAAATGATGGCAAAGGGGAGAGCAAAGATAATTCAGAAGAAGTAGCACATGGCACATTTGCTTTGTTCCCAAGTCAACTCATTTTACCACCGAAAGAAAGCGGTATTTGAAAGCAGAGCTGGAGATGTGGCTGGGGGTGGTAGGGAGAAGGTTGGGGGGAAGTGGAAAAGAAGACCGGAAGTTAAAAAAAAAAGTTTTGCTCAATAAAGTAACTTCTAGCATTTATTTAATGTTTTCAAATTGGCAACACTTGTCATATACACTATTTCATTTCAAAGAAATCAAGCAACTTGATTACTGTCAACCAGTTGGTGTCAGAGGTGGGATTTGAACAGGTCTTCCTGAATTCAAGTCCAGAGCTCTATACACTATGTCATGGTACCTCAAACACTATACTCATCACAGAAATTGTACTGTATATACCTCCATTCCCTTAGAACTGAGTAATCCAAATCATGACAAATGACTGAGCTAGGAGTAAGAAAGCAGAACTGAGTTTCTCTTGTCTTCCAACTCAGTCTCTCTGCACATGATTTATACTTTCTACTGCTTACCTATGTGAAATAAGAAAATATTATACGCCTATATCTACTTAGTAATTGTATTATGTTTATGTATCTTATGAATCCTATGTAACTGGTTGATATTTTTGCACTTTACTAATCCCCAGAAATAATCTGTTTGAGAATATATGAAAGTTAATTTTTGCTCTGGATCAAGAAGAATTAAAAACAACAAATGCTTAAAGTGATTAACGTATGAATTTAATTTTAGCAATCAGATAAGTCAATCTAATAGGGAGAGTTTCCACCTTTATTATAAATACACAAAATAGAAGTACATATTTTCAAAATTGTGCTTACGAAATGTTAACTTAAAGAAATGCCTTACTGTAAGTGATCAGTAATTAATTTGCTCTTCATTACAAGAACTCAAACTTTGTTCTCTTCTACAGTAAAAGAAAAAAAATTCCATTGCATTATCAAATGGAAAATCAAAGTTCAAGTAATATGAAAAATTACTTAACAGAAGTTAGGAGGGAAACAAACTCATTTTTAACATCATTATTTGTTATAATTGCTGTTTAAATGACATACACTAGTAGTTTGATTACTGCACAAATCACCTAAAATAAATTTGTCAATAAATTGTGGAGTATGGGAATTCCATGAGCTACATTTTTAAAGTAGAGTCACACCCCAAACAAAAGTGGTCATTTAAGTTGGGAACTTTTTTTAATGTGAATCTCCTAGGCACTAAAGAGAGTGAAAAAGTATTACATAAAAAGCAACAAATACAGCTGCTGATATAGTACACGGCTATCACCCTAGTTCAGGCCCCTCACCTCAACTTACATTGGTCTCCTTGCCTCAAATTTCTCCCTAACATCTACCAAAATGATTTTCCTCAAGTAGATGTCTGACCATGTCACCTCCTTACTCAATAAACTCCTATTATCTATTAAGACCTTTGTTAATGCAATATAAGCTCTTCATAATCTGACCCCTTCCTATGTTTCCAGTTTTCTCATACTTTGTTTCCTTCCACGCGCTCTCCAATCCAGTTTATACTTACCTACTTGAGGTTTCTATCTAACACTCTGTCTTCTATCTCCATGTCTTAGAAATGGTGATCCCTCATGCCTAGAAGCCTTAATGCTCTTCTTCCTCATCTTTGCCTCTTAAAGTTCCTTTTTGTTGTTATTCAGTCATTTCAGTCATGTCTGACTTTTCATGACCCCATTTGGAGTTTTTCTTGTTAAAGATACTAAATCGATTTGCCATTTCCTTCTCCAATTCATTTTACATTTGAGAAAATGGAGGCAAACAGGGTTGAGTGATTTGCCCTGGGTCTTCCTGACTCCAGGCCTGGTGTTCTATCCACTACACCACCTAGCTGCCCTTTAGAATGCCTGGCTTCCTTCAAATCTCAGTTCAAATCCGCCTTTTTCAGGAAGCCTATCCTAGTACCCTGTGAAATGCTAGTACCTTCTCCTCTGATAAAAATTCCCACCTACTCAGTATGTTTCTTGTGTAAACCTAGTTGTTTACATGACATCTCCCCCATTACAATGTGAGTTTATTGTGGGCGGGGACTATTCTTTTCCCTTTCTTTGCATCCCCAGTGCTTGTTACCATGACTGACACCTAAGTGCTGAATAAATGCTTTTTGACTGATTGATACTTTTTGTTTTTTTACTGAAGTCGAGAAGACAAGATCTACTCCAGAATATCTTCAAATGAAATCTTACTAAAGTTATGCCTCAATTAATGAATCACCTGAGAAGGCTACTCCTACATACATGAAATTAGCTGTGTAAAAAAAAAAGTCTATAAAATCTTGAGTAGAGCTGCTTGATGTAGGAGGCAACAAATGACAAAAATATGTGGTGCCTGGCACACGCATACAGTCCCTAATATTAAGGAGGCTGAAGCTGGTGCATTTGCTTGAGTTCAAATTATAGCATTAATATAGTGATCCTTCTAGGAATGGGAAGAGGGGCAAAATTGCCATGGAAATGGAAGTCAGAGCTTCTGTTAAGAGCAGTCCAAGACTACACTTCTACACTGGATGAGACTGCCTCAGAAAAGAAAAGAAAACCCACACAAGGGTCCTTATCCACTTAAGACTGCATGATTTAGAGCTGAAAGGGACTTTAGAAATAAAGTCCTCCTCCAAATGAAAGCAAAAAGGGCCTACTCAAGGCAAAGCTGTTAAATGATCTACACTGTCATCTGAAAATGATGACGTCCTGAATGCCAAGTTCTAAAATTTCTTCTCTAATCATCATCTCCTGCCCTTTATTTTCTTCTGCTGCCTCCCTCCTCATGAGCTTGCACTTAGTAACTCCCATGACCAGAAATTTCTCAGTTCTTTGCTATTTGCCCAGCTCCTCATCTGTTTCCGCTCTCTGTTTTCTTCTCTTCTCAGTCTTAACTCTAGTTCAATAGGTCACTGTCACCCATCTTTGAAGCCTATTCCCTTGGCTACTGGTCTTGCCTTGTCTCTCCTTCTCCTTTACTGCTCAACTTCTAGAAAGAATGAATGTTTGATGCCTCCACTTCACCTCTGCTTACTTCTCAATCCCTTGCAATGTGCCTTCCAACTTTACCACTCTACTGAAATCATCCCCTCCAAGTTCAGCAGTGATCTTTTAATCAACAACTCCAACAACCTCCTTAGTTCTTTCTCCTCCCTGATCTTGCCCAAGTACCTTACACTTCTCTACCCTACATACTGCGTCCTTTTTGCTCCAGTAAAATCTTCCTCAGTTCTACCTGTCTGATTGGTCCTGAATCTCTAGAGATTCAGTCTTTCTTCTACCCCCTTATTTGGGATATCCCCTGACACTACACTGAGTCTTCTCTTTTCTCTAAACTCACTCCATTAAAGAAGTGAAGCCAAGATGGCAGAAAAAGGGCAGGCACTCACCTGAGCTCTCCCCTAAACCCTCCAAATACCTTTAAATAATGCCTCAAAACAAATTTTATAGTGGCAGAACCCACAAAAGGACAAAGTGCAACAATTTTCCAGCCCAAGACAACTTAGAAAGTTGGCAGGAAAGTTCTGTTGCACCAAGGTGAGAGGGAAGCTAAATCCAGCCCACAGAAGGGCCTCTAGCAAACCAGAAGCAGGCCCGTGGAGGCAACTCAATCAGTGGTGGCACTGGAGGTTTCCAGACCTCTCAGCCTATAGATATTAAGGGGACCAGACAAGTGGTCAGATAAAGATTATCAGGGTCCCTTTGCTGGCACCAGGGGCAGTACTCTGTTACACCGTCCAAACTTGGATCAGGGCCACAGTCCTGGGTCTCAGTCCCAGGACAAAGAAGAGCACTAGCACACCAGAGCTTGTGGCCACAGGGAAGCAAGAACCCTGGTCACAGTTCCAGGGTGGAAAAGAGTGCTTATGATCAAAAGAATGAAAAAAGAGAAGACAGTGTGAAATATCTCACTGGAAAAACAACTGACCCGGAAAATAGATCCAGGAGAGAGAATCTGAAAATTACTGGATTATCTGAAATCCATGATCAAAAAAAGAGCCTAACATCATCTTTCAAGAAATTATCAAGGAAAACTGCCCTGATATTCTAGAACTAGAGGGTAAAATAAAAACTGAAAGAATCTACCAACAACCTCCTGAAAGAGATCCCAAAATGAAAACTCCTAAGAATATAACAGTCAAATTCCAGAGCTCCCAGGTCAAGGAGAAAATATTGCAAGCAGCCAAAAAGAAGCAATTCAAATATTGTGGAGCCACAGTCAGGATAACACAAGATTTAGCAGTTTCTACGTTAAAGGATCAGAGAGCTTGGAATATATTTCGGAGGGCAAAAGAGCTAGGACTACAACCAAGAAGGTCCCAACTATGATACACCACTGGATATAGAGTCAATCCATTGTGCTACTCTGTCTGAACATATCTACTGGGATGCTTGATCATCTTTTATTGCAACACACATGATGAAAATGAATGAAAAGACCAATTGTAGCTCATATGTCAACATTTATTACAAAAGATGAATTAAAGAAATTCTATGCACAACTGATCCTCTGAATCAGATAGACATACATTTTGATGCTTGGTGACTTTAAAGCAAAGAGAGGCACAAGGAAAAGATGATAAAAAGTATTCTGGAAAACATGATTCAGGTCTGAGTGAAAGAATCCCACGCCTTGTAGAATTTAAGTCAGAAGCCTCACATCAAAACAATATAAACACTTCCATCCAGCTGGAAGGTACTAGACAAAATACCGAAAGAATACATCATCATAAAAAAATTATACTGTATCTGAAAAGCAGGAAAGATTACATAGGAGTCAT